TCTCCCACTCTGGGATGTCAATTCTTAGGCATCTAAAGCCTGACTTGCAGTTGGGCTCCTTGAGCCTCTGCCTGGCCCTCAAAGCTGCCAGATGGTTGCAGATGGTCTCCAGACAGAACGGGAAGATGTGTGCTTATCAGACCACCTGGCAGAGATGCTGCCCAGATGGTCCAGGTCATCAGCTTTGTGGGGATCAGCTGAACTGTGCACCCAGCTCTTGTAATGAAACCTATACAAGGTTGAATTCTGATATGTCAGCAAGTATCTCACCAACCCCTTCAATGCTCTTTGAAGGGAGACTTGCAACAAAAGCAAGGAAAATGAGAAGGTGAGATGACGCCAAGCTTGCTCCCAGCTTATCCCTCATCTGTTTCCATCACAGATCACCTGTGCAGAGCTGCCCTCTGGAAAAGGAGCCAGGCTTCAATTAAGACTAATTTTGCTAGCTGCAAACTCCTTTCATGTATTCATCACAGCACTCAGCATAGTGCAACTAAGCTGGTAACCATTCAACTTGCTGCATCAATGAAATGGAAACTAGTCATTCACCAAATGGTTTTAATACCTATGTGCTAGGGATTGCATGCTGCGCTGGGGCCAGGAAAAAAGAGGGCTCTACTGGGGCAGGGCAGCATCCGATTTTGCTCAGTGCAGTGTACCTGGTGCTTAGCACAACCCTCAGCACATAGTATGTCATCAGTAAATAGCCACTGAGTGAATAGGACCCAACCTGACGTCAAGAACAGCACAGCCTGGCAAGGGAGATGGTCTTCAGAAAAATAAACTTTCCTGTACTTTTTAGGCACTCTAACAAACAAGAGTTAAGCACTGAGTATTGCAGGAGCCCGAGGGAAGGGGCAGTTTCAGCTGGGCCACATAGGACAGGCCAGTGACAGACAGGGCTCCTTAGAAGAATGGACATGTGAGGTCAACTATACAGGAAGGATGAGACTTGGTCCAACATTGATTCTTGTTTCTCTTTGTCTGAACTAAAAATGGAAAGTGAAAACAGATATGGTCAACTTCCAAACATCCCTCACCAGCCAGTTTGAGGGGTTCTCAGAACTGTAAGCCCAGACCCTTCCAGGCAGGTCCCACAGGAGGTAGAAGCGAGGACAACGGTGGGCGGCCCTGGGCGAGGTCTGGCCCACTGTCCTCTGTACGGGAGGAGCCTCACCTGAGGCCAGGTCACAGGACGGCACGAGGCCTTTGGGCAGGTCTTTGCTCTCGTGGCTGACAGCTTCTAGGGCTGGGAGCTCTGACTGCACCTTCCAGATGTGACCTCCCTTCAAGGAGTCAACAGGAAAACAACACGAGTTTTGCCATCCTGGCTATGCGGCTAGCTGCATGATCTCAGGGCAGTTACTTAACTTCCAAATTTTACCTGTTTATTTTTTAAAAGGGGTAGGTACTACCTGTTTTACAGGTTTTGTGTAAGAAAAATGCTAATATCCTGCCTGGCACCTGGCAGGTGATCAAAAGGGCAGAAACAATTGCTAGAACTAATTTTAACAGCAACCCGGAGCAGGTTTCCCCTCCTGGGCTGAACAGATGAAGACGTGGGCCTTTTGACCGGGGGCTCCGGCCTCCAGCAATGTAGCATCTTTGGTCTGACATCTGAAATGTCTCCATCTTCACCTCTGGCCCCAGGCTCCTTGTGATAGAGCCTGCCCCACCTCCTTCACAGGAGGTGAGTCGAGATGAGAGAAGGGACCAGAAAGCACTGGGTGGGCTGGGCAGCACCAGCTGGGGCTTATTCAGAGGGTGGAACAAATCTCCAAAGACTGCTCAGGGCCAGGCTCTGACGGGAGAGCCCTGGAGGTGAATGCTCCCAGGCTGCGTGTAGGACAGACGGAGGTGGTCCCTGAGGAGTGTGCGTGCATGTGTGTATGGCACAAGAGGCCCCCGGATCCTGCTGCCCTCTCTCGTCTGCATGCTGTATTACCAGTCACAGGGAATGACTTAGGTCTCTGCTGCTTTTCAGGCTCTGGACCTGTCAGCAGTCACCATGGGAAGTCCTGTCTCAGCCCTCCCTGGCTGCGCTGCAAGTGCCTATCTCTGCGTGTGCCCCTCCCCTTAGACGGGGGCATCTCCAGGGCCCAGCACACAGCAGTAACAGAATGGACAGAGCATTATACATGTCACCAAGGGAGCAGGGGGCTGCAGTTCCCGTGCCCCTGGCTGCTTCTCTGGTCGTTGTAGATATCATGTAGACAGGTGTGCACATATCTACTGCAAGAGCCACAATTTCCTTTGAAACATGTCTATCCAGCCTTACGGGCTACAGGTGGGCCATTTTTATTACTACGGATGGGTGTCAAATTAGGCTCACATTTTTTATAAAGTCTAAATATTGAGAAAATGTTATTAAAATGCACAATGAAGTTATTAGTCAGTTCAATCTTTGGTCTTTCCATCTGCTTGAATTCAAGTTTACAACAGCAAAAGTCTGCTATCCATCCCATGCCAGATGTCATTACCAGATGAGGGAGAGACGGAGACTGTTCGTAATGTTAACTCTCCTTAATCGAATCTGCTCATAGGGACAGTCTCTCATAAACTTTCAATCAGTAAATCCAGGAGACAGATGTGCCTGGCACATGGTAGGCATTCAATAAATATTTGCTACATGAGTTATTAAGCAAATACAGAAAATAGGGCAGTCAACCTCTTAATGGAGTCAAGCCTAAAAGGAGAGAAACCTAAAGACATTTTTGGTACTTTTTTGACCATTTTGATGGTCAACATAATCCCATCAGAAGGCAGCACAGGCTGGCCAAGGACCACTGGCTTGGAGGAAGGCTAATGAGGTTCAGGTGCCGGCTCCTCCGCCTTCTACGTGTGAACTTGAGAGGCGGTTTTCATCTGTGAGACGCGCTGATGACACTGCCCTGGGAGTTGCTGAGACTGCGCCCTGGGTGCCTCGGGCCAGCCCAGAAGCAGCCCCTGGTACGTGGTTAGATGGGACATTAGCAAGGACTGCTGTGTGCCCTAGCACCAAGTGAGGCCCGCACTCTGTGGAGCGTGGGGAGGCAGGGGACACCCCATCCCCAGGCTTCCTGCTTTTATCCGCACCAGAATGAGCCCACTCAGGAGGATGAATCTCTTCCTACTGGGTCCCCGGAGCACACTGCCCCTTCCTCCACTGGGTGCCGGTTGCTGTCAAGCTGAGGCTGAATCAGAGCTAGCCAGGCCTGCCAGCTCTGCACAGCTCTGCCTAGCTCCCTGCATGAAGCTAAAGCTCCGAGACCCAGGCTTGGGGTGGCTCCTGCCTCACCGGGGACTTACACATTGGGAAGTTACAGAGCCACTGTAACACTAGCCCTGTCAGACAGACCCAAGTCCTCCCTGGCTCGGTGTCACGACCACAGATGCCAGGATGTGACACTTGATGGCCTTCTTTGGTCCAGGCTGACAGGACGTGGGTGCATCCACAACCCTCTCCCTTGAGGACCGGGCTGGGAGGGAGCGCTTTGCGGGCAGCCCCACCTGGGTTGGTCCCTGGCTCCACCACATCCTGGCTGGACTCACAGCTGAGTTCATTCACCTCACTGAGATTCTATCTCCTCATAGGAACAAGAGTGCTGATCAGAGAGACGAAGACGAATTAAACGAGATGCCGGAGGCAGGGCCTGGCAGTCAGCGTGAACGCCACTTCCGTCTATGCTACATCGCTTTGCTCACTCACCCAGCAGGAAGTGACTGGACCTGACTGTGCTGAGATCTAGGGGACCCAAGAGAAGGACGACTCGGTTGTCCCCACCTTTTCACTTCTCTCTACAAAGACAAACGTGCTAACTCCATGACTGCCGCGCGCATCACTCTGGGAGCCCCGGTTTTAGTGTCTGGTTCGCAGAGCCTTCTATCTACCTGTAAAGTGCTTAATTTGTCACAAGCTCCTTGGAGACAGGGGTCCACCAGGCCCAAATCCACTTCAGCTTGAAGAAGGCTGTGCCACCTGTAGACTGAGGATCTTTCCAGAATCCAGGAGATGGTCTGGAATGATCTGAGAGCATACAACACACCTTGACCATCCCATATCCACGGAATTCATGTGTGAAAAACTAGCAGACATTCACATCAGAGTTGCCTTTTGCTGGGAGACATTCTCTGAGTGAGCCACACTCTCATACCTTGAGACCTTCGGGGTATTTCGCACCCTTGTGCTCTTCAAAAACTTCTACTCATCCTTAAAAAGCCCACTTGAACACTCTGTCACCCCCTCCATGAAGCCTTCCCTGATCGCCCCACACCCAGCAGCTTCTTCCCCTGAACCTCACAGCACTTGGCACAACGCTCTGTCCCCGCTTCCTGGCAGGGTCTTTAGTTCTCAGATGCCACATCCACACCCTACGAGCCTCTGCAACCACACTGAGGCCTGGTCTTTGATCTCAGCCTCTCACGTGCCTCACTACACACCTGACCCAAAGTAGGCGCTCTGTAAAGACTGCTGAACAGACAGACACGAACAGGCGAACCTGGGGCCTCCCCAGCGTGCTCACTCATCCCACTGAGTGCCCACCACCAGCCAGGCACTGATCTCAAGTTTAGGGCAGGGCCGGTTAGTGATATAGCACGGTCCTTGCGAAAACCCTCTCAGTGTTTTCAAAACAGCATCTCGATGGCTCTGTAAGCTGTACAAGCCGACTTCAGCTTCCCAGACAACTGCAGCTGCGAAACTCCTCAAGCCCCACATAGATAGGTGGCTGTTCGAACCTGTCACTAACACGAATGTCAACACTCGCGAGAAACATATGGTGCAAAACAAGAGCAGCGGCCCTGAGGCAGCCTTTCCTCACCTGAACCAACACTTCATGAGGGGCCTTGGAGCCTTGAGAGGTTAAGAAAATGCCCACTCTGGCCCCTATCTCCTTGCTGCGGTATTTCTGGACTATTTGCAGCTAAAATTCAAGGGCTTAACCCTCCTCAGGTCCTTCTCAGTGATCGGAAACCTGGAGCAGGGTGCGTGAAGTCCCAGGTGGCCACCGTGAAAAGGATATGATTCTCCAACGGACGTCCAGCTTGCTGTTGATCTCCAGGCCCCGAGCTTCCTGCCTCTCTTCTTCCAGCTGCTCCGAACTTGCAAATTGTCCCTTCTCTCCAGGGGAGGCTGGGAAACTCTCAAAGTTGAACTTGTCCACTTGAATAGCCATTCTAAGAGAAGGGAGAAAACACAGCAGAGAATTAATCAGGAGGGCAATTTCTTCTGCTGGCTGTGGGAGAAGCAGCACACGCCAGCGTGAGACAGTATAATGAATCATTATTATTAGTAATTCATAACGGATTCATTCCAAGAAAACGAAATAATAGACTCCCAGGGTAGCACCGGCTTCAGAGCTGGTTCAACATCCAGTGTAGAACTGATGACACAGTCAGAGATTCCAACCTTGGAGAAGACTCCTGTATCCTAGAAGAAAACCTGACTTCTGGAACAGGGCAAGGCATTCAGGACCCAATGTGGAAAATCATAGTACTAGCACTTACTTAACCCTGGGGACCCCAAAAGCCTAATGGGAACTCCAGCCTCATCATCTGAGCCCTGGCTGTCATCTCATGCTTCATCCTAAGCCAGACAGACTTGCTCACACACGCCCCGCCCCACCGGCTGCACAGCATCCCCTCTCTCCACGGCCAGCCCTCTGCACCCAGGACCCCATTTGTCTTTTGAGCTGCTGCCCACCCTTCCTTCAAGTTTCTGTTCAAGGAGCACATCCTCTACAAAGCTTCCTCGCACTGCTGCCTCTGTCCAGCCCCCGCAACCTTCTGGCAGTTTCTAAAACATGCTGGGCTCTTCCTGCCTTAGCCTTTGTGCTCACTGCTCCCTACTCAGGAGTATTCTTTGCCTGACTCTTGGCACACCTGGAGCCCTTCATTCTTTAGGTTTGAGCTAAAGAAAGGTTTTCCCAGGCGACCTCATCTACAGCAGCATTGTCTTACATCTCCCCTCGCCTTACTCTCCATTGCAGCGTTCAATTTCTGTCATAGCATTTACTGTGAGCTGTAAATATTTATTTTGAGACTTAATTGTTTATCACTCCTACTGGCGTTTAGCTCCCTGAGGGCAGACATCATCCTGGTCTTGTTCACCATAGTCTCCCAGGCCTAGAAGGCGCCCTGGCCTGCTGCAGGAACTCAGTAAACAAGTCACCGAAGAAAGGAGTGAGTGAATTAAGAGCCTTCCCTGATGCCCTGGCCAATGTGTACCTCTTTCCCTCCCTGCTGCCCAGCCCTCACACCTGTACCCATGGTCGGCTGCGCCCCAGGTCCTGCAACACCTGGTCTGTAGAAGGCACGCAGCACGTGAGTCGGGCGCTGTGGGTAACTGCTTGCAGCCCACCTCCACTCCCAACCACGATGTTCCCACAGGCGGGGCTGCATCTACTGCATCTACTGTTTGAGGCCCCCTCTTAGCACAAAATCAGGCATACAGCAGGTACTCAGTTAAGGTGTGTTACAAGAAGGAAGTGGGAGAGGAAGGAGGGTTTCTTCATGTCAGGTCCCTGAAGTTCTGGCTCCAACTGAAAGATGACTGAGAGTCAGTCAGTCAAAGCATAGAAGTTAGCGTTTTGTATTACGGCAGACCATGCCGTGGCCAAGATGTTTAGCCAAACCCAGCATGCTCCAATGGGCCTTTGGGGCTACTCCCTTTAACAACCAGGAGATGAGAGGGATCGGTAGTCAGGGTGTATAAATACAAGATTAAACCCAAAGAAGAGGTCTTGATACTAAGGCGGCTTGGAAAGAACCAAGGGACAATCTATAAATCTATGGCATTCAACTGAGAGGGTGACGTCCAGGGCTTAGCCACCCGAGAGTTAGAGACGCGCCTGTGGAGGCACAGAAGACAGTGCATTTCCTAGCAAGAACTACTGTAAAAAATTACATTTAATGCTCTTCTCTGATTACAAAAGTAGATAGGCCTACTGGAAAAAGTTGGAAAACAGAGAAAAGCATAAAAAAGAAAAAGAAAGCACTCAGAATCTTATACTCTAATTTTAAGACCTTAATTCTATAGTCTTTTGTTAAGTATTTGTATTTTAATGTAGTTTAAAATCATTATATATGTATATGAATAAATTATATAAGTATCATTTTATATGTATATACATACATAAATATACACATAATTTTAAGATTTTCTTTATTCTCTTAATATACTATGAACATTTTCACATCATTAAAAATTAGTCTTCCAAACAATCATATGGCTGTATCATAATTTAACAATTCCCCTATTTTTCATATTCTCAGATAGTTTCTATTTTTTAAAAATTACTATCGAGGGGCTGGCCCCATGGCCGAGTGGTTAAGTTCACGCACTCCACTGCAGGCGGCCCAGTGTTTCGTTGGTTTGAATCCTGAGCATGGACATGGCATTGCTCATCAAACCACACTGCGGCAGCATCCCACATGCCACAACTAGAAGGAGCCACAACGAAGAATATACAACTATGTACCAGGGGGCTTTGGGGAGAAAAAGGAAAAAAATAAATTACTATCGAAAAAAGCCATAACAACTTTGTGCTAAAATTTCTTGACTGCATTTATGATTGCCTGTTAGGACCCAATTCTAAAAGTGGAATTCCTCATTCAAGAATGTGACAACATCAGAGGCTCAGAGGCAGAGTTCCAGGTTCCTTCTCAGAAAGGTTCTTGCCGAGGTCCGTGCCCCAAGCAGCGTGGGCAGGAGTACGGGCTCTGCACCCTTGCCAATACTGGCGATGATCAATTTTTAATCTCTGCTAGTAAGACGCAGAATGCTACCTCGTGGATGTTTCAATTTGCAGGTCTGAATTACCCCGAGGTTGAGAACTTTTTCAAGAGCTTATTAGCCATTTACCTTTCTCCCCGCGAGCTGTCTACATGTGCAGCAAGAGTGCTCCTAACTGCCCCCTAGCAAAAGTCCTTCCTATTCCCTCCCCTCGAAGGTAGACTGAAGCAAATTAGTGCTCTCTTCAAACAAAAGGTTGGAATATTTCCTAAGTTTCACTAAAAAGGCCCATTTCAGTTCATCTGATAACCCAAAGGAACTAATAATTTCCACCTCTCCAATGGGTTTGGGCACAGTCCCAATGCCCAGTTCTCTTCCTGTTGAACACAGAAGGGGGGAGAGACCGCCTGGCCTTCAGCATCCTTAGGGTCAGCACATACACTGGACGCTGTGGCCGCTGAGATTATATTTGTGTGATTATCTCAGGGACTCTTTTGAACAATTTCTGACTAAGCATCATATTGCATCACCCACCCCAATCCTTAACCAAACTCTAGCCAGGTGTGCCCACGAAACAGGAGAGGGGAAAAAATGAAATGTAACGAACACTTACTACATGCCAAGCCCTGGGTGAGGTAATTCATACATACATTCGTCTTCTTTATTACAGCAGGACTAAGGATGAGGGCGATTTGCTTCCTCTTGCAGACGCGCTGAAGCTCTGCGAGCGTGAGCCACCTGCCCAACAGCACAGAGCTGGCAGCCCCCACCAGGAGCCTCTTACTCAGACTCAGTGCTGCTCAGTTTTGTTTTTTCTTTACTTGGCTCTCCCTCACTTACGCAGAGTACCTAAAAGGAGACTATGTTTTGCTCATGTTGTTTGCAGAGCTGGCATGGGACACAGACCCAGTGACTGCACAGGCTGCTGTGCACAGGGCTGCCGCCCACATGACCAACCAACCACTTCCCAAATTTACACCGGCCCTCTTCCCTCCGCAGCCCTGGGACATGCAATGCCAGGGACTGTCCCAAAGGCAGTCTCTCTCCTTTCCCACAGATGATAAAACCAAGGCACCAAGAAGTTGAGTAACTCACCTAGTGTCACCCAGCTTGAAATCCTGGAGCCAGGATGGCAGCTCCAGGAGCCGAAGATTATTCCCCCAAACCACAGAGGAGCACTGCCGGCCTCCACATCTCTGTCTACGTGGTCCTGGAGCACAGCCCCTAAGCCTCACCACCCTCCTCCTCCTTCCCCACCAGGAAAGAGACGGCAGCCGCGTGACTAGTAACTCGTCTTCCTAGAGCTGAGTCTCCATACGTGAACTCTCCACCTGCCGCGACACGCTGCATTCTGTAAAACAGCACCAAGGGCCAGTACTGTTGGGGGTGGGGGACCCACTGCCTGGGTACCATGGGAGGTGGCCTTGATCTGAGTCCAAGCACAGAACTGGCAGGACTTTTAATGAAGACCGAAGCCACCACATTTTGAGGCTGTCACTTTTGTCATGAAGCCACCCTGACGGGGGATAGCAGTGCTCCCTGGTGATGGCAGCAGCTTGAGAGAGATGCACAGAGAGTCGATCACAAACTGCCTGCCTGGAGTTCACCACTGAAGAGGCGTCTGGGCTGAGAAGGCCCCATACCTGTCAGAATTGCTCATGGAGAAATGACGTAGCAGTGTTGGAAACCCAGGCGTTGAAAGAAGAAGGAGAAATCCAGAGGCGAGGGCATGAGAGCATCTACTGCCATTGCCCCAAAGAGGAACTGAGGCCCCAGAGGACAGCACCTCATCCGTCTTGCAGGGTACCGAGGTGGCAGGAGGCAAAGAAGAGGCAGCTCTAGCTTCAGAGCTGACCACCTGGGCTGGACTCCCAACCCTGCCTGGACTTGAACATGACCTTGGGAACAGCCCTCCATTTCTCTGAGCATCTCTGTGAAATGCGATCAGCAGTACCTGCACCCAGAGGGATGGCTGAGAGGATTCAAATGTTCTTATTCAGGGCCAGGAAATGTTGGCCACTACAATCAGCCCACGAGTAATGATCAGCTTGGTGCCTTGGATGACTTTATACCTATTTTCTCAATTAGCAAGCAATTTTTCATAACAGTAACAAAGCAACAAAATATCAACACTGAATTAAAGCTGCAATACCCTCCCCCCCGCCTCATACAGCCTCTTGCAGACACATGCTGATCATAACTTTGTGGGCATGGCCCTCCTCACTCTGGGTTTAAGCTTACACCCTCGAGACCTTTTACTGGGTGTAAGGCAACACAGACCAGAGAATATTGTGCAATCCCCACTGGAAAGTGTCCTAGAAATAATTCAAAACTGTGGCTGATCCTCTGGGAAATCACAGCAAAACTGGAAAACATCCTTGGAAATAATACAGAAAAGGAGGGAGTGCAAGGGAGTATAGACCAAGGGCGGACGCACCTGCCC